CCCCCCCCCCGGCTTAAATACATACAGATGCAAGCCGGACTGATGCATCGAGGCTCGAAGTACAATGACGTAGGTAACCAAGGATTTTCACGGAATTTTCTACTAATGTTTATGATTTCTACACTGCGGTGAAGGAGACCTAAGGTTCTACCTAAGATTTTTACATGTATGCGAGAAGCAAGGACGAAATCTGATCATAAATCTATAGAGGGAGAAAACAGAATGCTTTATACATATTCAACAAGCAACGAAACGAAAGTCTGCCATTTATTTTATTAAAAAGAGGAGGAAGAAACTATTTTTTTTTATCTACGTCTTCTCTGCGACAATCATCGCATGAAGAATTTTCTTGCTCTTCTGCAATGATCATTGCATAAAGAATCATTCATTCGGCAACTCACAGTCGACAGATTATTCCATTAAAGAAAAGAAGGAAACCGGCTGTATGTGGAAGTCACAGTAGACGATGGGATCTACACTGAAATATCTACAGAGCGCCCGCATATATCTATTACAATATCGGCACCGGTGACGATGAATTAATTCGATTTAAGGCGTGCAAGGCGGCGTGTGTGACCGTCCGGGAAACGAATCCGCAGACGAAACTAGTCCCTTAACGATCGCGTTATGGTCGCACGGTGAATGGCGAATGGTGACCGGAGCCCGTTTTATCTCGCGATGGAACAAAGGAAATCGTTACTAGAACGTCGGGGGGATCCTCTCGCGAGTCGCAATATCGAGGAAGCTCCGCGACGAAACGGCCATTTAAAATGAAATACAATTCTTAACGTCGTGAAACTGGCGAACCAACGGCGACACGATGTACCAGCGACCTTCTAGAAAATGGAACTCGTAAAAGACCTCTGTCTTTTTCTTCCTTTTTTTGTCCACTTCTCTCTCTCTCTCTCTGTCTCGGAGAGACTACTCTGCTTGGTAGATAATGCCGCTGAAGCAGGGAATCTCCACTGTGAATGTTTCGAATGGATGGGATGTGAGAGGTGTACGAATGTAACGATATCATTTGGACAGTTTGATAAGGCCTGGTAGTTTGTTCTCAGAACTTCATTGATAAAGTTTCTGTGGCTTTTATTTGTGGGAAAGTTGGGAATTACTCGAATCGACGAATCGAAGATCTTTCGATACGATCGTTTTACCTTTTTTTTTTTTTTTTTTTTTTTTTTTTTTCACTCAAGAAAAGTACAACGTCTGTCTTCATGTTATTATCTTCCTCTTTGATCATTCGTAGTTTACTAATATAATATATATCGCGATGTTCAATCAAATTTCAATAACACACGTGCAACACGAACAGTATAAAAGTCATCCATTAATAAAGTGGATTGTGGATCGTTGTTAGAAAAAAAAAAAGAAAAGAAAAAATGAGATCTAATGAGAGAAATGATCACGAGATACATTCTTCAAGTACGTCTGTGCGTGATATTTAAACGAAAGTATTTTGTTCTACGCCACTGGGGACGGCTCGGGCACACGGATGACTCACGCGATCTCTCTCGCAGCCTCCTTTGCACGGTCCCGTATGGTAGTCATGCACAATGGAGAATAGTAAACGCAGTAAAGGTAACTCGGAGAGAAGAGGGCCGGTGGTACAGCACCCTGGTTCCCCCCCTGTGTGCGAATACCCGCGGGTCACGTGCCACGATTTTCACCCCCGTACTCCCGACCGATTGCCAGTCCGAGCAGGCAGATCCGGATCGTTCGTTCGAGCCGATTTCGCACGGCAGGGTAGCGAGGAATCTCCTTGGGATAAAACCGTAACGACCGTGTTCCTTCACTTTTAACACTAGAACTATCAGCGATTAAAGTAGAAAATGTGACGAAGCTATAAGAGGGAAATAAATCCTTTATATCACAGAGGAGACATTCAAATCTGTGATTTGTTATTTTAAATTTTTATTGTATAATTATTTTATTTATAATTGCGACATTAATTACATTAATTATTGAATGAATATTTGGATATTTATGTTGAATATTTTAATATATAAATATCCTTTATATCACAGAAGAGACATTCAAATCTGTGA